CAAGTGCAGGGTCCTGCACCTGGGACATGGCAACCCCAGGCACAAATACAGGTTGGGTGGAGAATGGCTGGAGAGCAGCCCTGAGGAGAAGGACTTGGGAGTGCTTATGGACGAGAAGCTCAACATGAGCCGGCAGTGTGCGCTGGCAGCCCAGAGAGCCAACTGTGTCCTGGGCTGCATCAGGAGAAGCGTGGGCAGCAGGTCTTGGGAGGTGATTCTGCCCCTCTACTCTGCACTCGTGAGACCCCACCTGGAATACTGTGTCCAGCTTTGGAGTCCTCAACACAGAAAGGACATGGACCGGCTGGAACAGGTGCAGTGGAGGGCCACGAAGATGATCAGAGGGATGGAGCACCTCTCCTATGAAGACAGGCTGAGGGAGCTGGGATTGTTCAGCCTGGAGAAGAGAAGGCTCTGGGCAGACCTTATAGCGGCCTTTCAATATCTGAAGGGTGCCTATAGAAGAGCTGGGTAGGGACTCTTTGCCAGGAAGGGTAATGATAGGACAAGGGGAAACGGTTTTAAATTGGAAGAAAAAAGATTCAGATTAGATACCAGAAAGAAATTCTTTACTGTGAGGGTGGTGGGGCACTGAAACAGGGTGCCCAGGGAAGTTGTGGATGCCCCATCCCTGGAAGTGTTCAAGGCCAGGCTGGATGTGGCCTTGAGCAACCTGCTCTAGTGGGAGGTGTCCCTGCCCATGGCAGGGGGGTTGGAACTCGATGATCTTTGAGGTCCCTTCCAACCCTAACCATTCTATGATTCTATGATTCTATGATAATTAACCATATGGTGATTGTTTTTTCGTGTGTTAAAGGAAGCAATATTGTCTTATTTACAACTTTACCTACTTATGTTATTGATGTTCACAAGTGTATTTGTAACCAAGAGTTAAAAATTAGGTAGAAAATATAAAGAAATTCTTTTTTTTGGGGTGAAGTTTAAAGAATCCCACCCAAACTTATTGCATTCTAAACAAGTATTATTTTCTTCAGAATTCCTAATAGTAAGAAATATTATTGCTGTCTGTGCTGTAATAAACAGTCACCCATCCTAGTCCCACAAAGTTAGTAAGGCTAGACTTAAGACTAGATAATTGGTATTATGACCAAGAATAGAGCTTTCTGTAGAGAAAAGTAAATATATAAGTGATAGGCTGAACTAAGCATGACTATCAGCCACTTGAACGAAATAGTACAGGGTAGTTGGTGTAATAAAAAAATGTCTTGATTGTTATACTCATCAAAAAAATTAGAATAAAAACTTAAAATCTGCAATCTAGTCTCTTCCAAACTCAGTGAAATGTATTTCTGAATAAATACGCAAAACTCAGAAAAATAATGAAAAAGACATAACACCAGCTAAGAAGAAATTGGAACAAAAGGTGACCGCAGTTACTTGTAGAACCTAATTGTCATTACATGAAGAAAGATAATGTTGAAGTGATTTTCCCAGTAAATTTATGTATTGTGCAGAATGAATATGGCTGAAGACATCCACTTACTGAAGGTTCACTGGAATTGTAATAATTCAGGGTCACAAGAACAAATATACTATGAAGGCATTAAGTCAGGAACTCAAACTGAAACTATATACCTGGAGACAAATACGAGTACAAGAGGATGGTGCAGAACTAGCAGGCCAAAGATTTTTATAGCTGCTTAGTTAATCACAGGATTTACATGGTTTCATAACTCCACACTCCATTAATCAGAGAAGATTGCTAGTTTTGCGATCCAAGTATTGAACTGAATGCAGGCAGCATGCAATATGAGATCATCCAAGACCTCATTATCTAGAAAACTTAAAGCCCCATATGATTTCAACCTTTTAAAAAAAAAAATATTTTCCAGAATCTTAATCCAATCTTGTAGGCAATGAAGCTCTGGTAGTCAATATTCCAATAACAGAGCAAGTACATTATTACAATTCTCCCTGGAAAGGCTTGGAAAAGCAAGTTTTCTTTTGAAGTTATTTCACTAAGTTAATGAACCAGAGCAAAAGTTCTGTGAACAGCTAGAATGGCACAACATTGCAGAAGAGAAAGCCACTATGTGTAAGAGAAATTCAGAGAAAAAAAGCATTCATTTGAAATTAAGCTTTACTTCTGTGCTTTTCCATCTGTGGTTTTCTGACTGATGTGAGCAACCACATTCTACACCAAAAAAAAAAAAAAAGAATTGTAATACCTGGTCTGTATCAAGCTAAATCAAGACTAATATATATTCTGTAGAGACAAGGAAGGGAGAAAATGTTACTGACTTGTTGGGAAGACTTTCTGTTATTCATGGTAGTTTGATATGTTTACATAACAGAAGAAATTTTTGGATGTGTTACTTGACTTTCTACTTGATATTTCAGTGACTGTAATTCCTGTTGTGTAATGATACTCAGATTATGATCCTGCCTTCCTGTAGTATCTACTATGACACCTGTTAAGTGTCATTGCCAAGAGCTCTCCAACAGTAACTTCTTTCTTATAGGTCACTTTACCAGGGGATGTAGTATTATTTTCTTTATTTAGAAATGGTTTTGGAACCCTGTCATTTTTCTATTACACAGGGATTAGTGGGGTCAGTAAACAGAATGCTATAAAAAAAGGGTGATCTATCTCCTTCTTTGGTGGTAATTTCTCCTAAATTGTTTCTAACTCTGTAGTATTATGACCCAGATACCTCACTGAATGATAATCTGTACCATATGCCTGCTATGTTTCATGAAATTAATTTTGTAATACTGACTCCGATGGGTTTTGGGTATAAAGATGAAGAAAAGCCCATCAACTGACACATTTTAAAGACCAAAGAAACAAAAAATTCTTACCAGCCATAAAAATAAAAAAAATACAAAATCTGTAATTAGAATTTGAAATAGAACTGGGGCATCACAACAAAGAAAGTTATTCAGAAATTAGCAAAGTCCTCTTCAGGATGTTACATCACTTATTTGCCCTGCTATTCAAATGTCAAGCCTATCTTCTCAGGCTCATGAGAAGGAGCATTTTATAAAGTATGAGATGCATGTCTAGAAAGTTAAGTAAAAGCATAAAAATCCTAAAGACCCATTAAAATGCTCTGGAGAGCTATTATCAAGGGAAAACATGATATTGAGTCTAAACAACAATTTGAATTAAAGTGGTACGATCAAGTTTTAAAGATTACAAGATTAGTTCAGGTTTTATCACAAATATGAAATTCTAATTCCACAAATTTGCTTTTTTTCTTGAGCTTTTGAGAATTTTTCTGACATCATCACATGTCTGGTTAGATTGAGTCAGCAAGAGAGTACAAAGTTTTTTATTGGTCTCCTGTGGAGGTCGTCAATAGGAAAGAAGACAATATTATTCTGGTTTATTTAAATGTAAATATGAAGTGGCTTTCTTCAGAAGTTTGAACCTTCTGGAGACTATTTCTGCAAGGCACTGTTTTACAGAAGATAAAATTATGATCTTCTGTTGCAGAAGTCCAAAATATAGATTTGAAGAAGTTGTTGAGTATAATTTTTTGATTCATGACAACATTAAAAATAACTGTAGTCCAGATGACATGTGGAGTCCTGTGTGGAGATTTTATCTGGTCATTTAACAACAGATGCAGCCATTTTCTGTATATTCTAAATCCCTCCTAAAAAGTGTCAAATCAAGTGTTCCAGTTGTTGAAGTTTTGTCATCTGAAAACAAACACTATAAAAAGAGTTAAGTCTCCTCTTAATCTTTAGAAAACTATAAAGTCCCAGAGGAATGTAGTTTTCTGAACAAACTAATTTTGAAGGTTTTAAAGATGCAATTGGATATGGATCTTCTGGTATTGGTAGTGTCTAAGACTATAAAAAGAGAAGAGCTTAAATCCTACTTTCCATGCACTTTTTTTTGTTCTGTCCAGAACTTGCTCTGGCCTTACAAGTTTTTCTCATTCCTCTTCCAAAGAAGTACATAAAAATAAGACAGTAAGTTTCTTATGGAAACAATAAAGATTTTTGTTTATATGCTGCATAGTTCAAGAAATTTACAAGGGCTAACCAAATCTAAATCCTTTTGGAAATCTCTTGAAATTGTTTGGGATTTTTCATAAATAAATTTCACCACAATGCATATTTTATTAAAAATTATCTTTTATAATTTCAGTTTCCTGACCTGTGGTCCCTACTTTTCCAGACTTCCGACAATGTTTGGAAAGTGTCTAATATACATTGCCTGTAACAGCAACAACAGGATACAAAATAATATCAGAACTCATAGACTGTGAAGGAAACTTAAGAGAGCTACATATTGACAAAAAAAAATTAGTTTATTAGTTTTATCATTTAGTTGTTTTAAAAACTGGGATAAAACTTCAGGCAACTGACTTTTCAGGTGTATGTTTGAAATGTAGTTTTCATGTTTTTGGGTTTTTTTTACTTTCTTTGATCATCTGTAAATTGTATCACAGATTCTCCTAGCTCTCATTCTCTTCTATGGGAATTTCTCACTTTATGTAGTAAAGTTTCATCCAAAAATATTTTAATAAATTGCAAGGCTTTTTACTGCTAGAGGCTACATTAAAAAACAATAAATATATATTTATTTACTTTCTGTTTATAAAAGGAGAACTGTTTAGTTGATGTAATTTGTCTTCTTATCAAAGTTGTTAACTTTTTTTCTGTGAAATATTTGCTAAGCAAACTCAGATGTCCTTCTCTTTGCTTCAGTCTCTGAAAATCCTTTTCTTTCTCTCTTTTCTAACAGGAGTTGGAATTCACAAAGTTGAGGTAGGAAACTCATTTTATTACTGGGTAATTCAACTAGTTAACTCAAAGCCATGAACATTAAAGCTTGATAATATGATTCTTCTTATGATTTGTATCCAGAAGCTATTGACTATGGTAGTTTACTGTGGAGAATCACAGTCAGAACAAAATCTGCTTTCTACAATATAGAGAACTATTGTGGATTCTTCTTTTTAGTGGTGTGTTGCATGAAATGTTCATGTAAAATAATCAACTATGTTTCAAAGTTTCTGTGGAAAAGAAACTCTACTGATTAAAGTGTTTAACGTTTTGTAATTTAAATTCAGGACTAATGGGAATTTAAAAAAAAATGGAGTTCAGGTTGGTCACATGGCCTGTAATCAATCTCAAGAAATAACAGACTTTACTACTGGGCAGAGGTCTTCAGGTCCAACAAACCAGATCTCCCTTCCATTTGCACAGCACAGTCCAAAGAGCATCAAGGGATTTTGATATTCTCTGACTGTGGGGAGTATGTGGGAGCACTATACAAATATCTCAGACACAATTTATGCCTCTTCATAGAAATATGCATCTTAGGATATGCATCCTAAGAAAATTCTTTGTGTGGCAGTGTTTATTGGTGATACTGCTATTAGTGTCCTCTCTACCTTATATGAGGATCAGGTGACCACATCAGAGATCTTCACATGCGATAGTGAAATTCTAGCAGAAAAATCCCTGCATCTTAGTGTAGGTGCTTTTCTTCTAGGAAAAGCAAAAATTGCCTTCAGGTATTCCAGGGTAGGTAAAACTGCCCCCTATTTATTATGAACAACAGCTGCTTAGGTTCGGATATAAGTAAGGGATTTATTTATTTATTTGTTATTTAAGACCCTCAGGACAGGGCAGGGTTAGGTAATACACTACATTATGAAAATTAATGTTCCCATTTCTTATAGGATCAGGACCTGTGTTTGGGATAGAAATTAATTCATTAGAGCTGATGAAACATCATCATGTGATTTATATACATAATTATATAAAGGCATTTATTTCTATCTCTTGAATTCCTTACCCTTAGGCTTCTAAACATAATAAAAGTCATTAACTGATTCAAATAGCTATTTTTTTTCTTAATCCTGCAGGTATCATTAATGTTATCCTTCTCAAAAATACATTTACAGACACTCTGGGCAGGTGTGTGACTGAAAAAGGTCAAAGCAAAATACCAGCATACTTAACAAATATATTTTTGCACTCCGTCACAAAAATCCTTTTGGTTGCATAGCAACTGTCTTTTTAATTACTACTTGCAATCTAGATTTTAATAATTTAATTAGTATTTTTTCTTCATTAAATTGTTTCACCCAATAAGATTAATGAATTCAATTCTTTCCTTGTTTTTAAATGGTCTTATTTACCTCCTTTCATCGCCCTTCCAGCATCTTTGGCTATGCAGTACAGACTAAAAAATCTCATTAATTTCATATGAAAAACCACAGTCAAAAGTATTCAGCCTTATCCAATACAGAAAAATACATCATTTTAGGTAACCTTTGTAGCTGAAGTTGTTGGAGTTCAGGTAAGAATTAGTGAAGTCAGTGGGGCTTCATAAAACTGCCACATTAAAAATACAAGAAGAGGTTTGCAGGACTGGAACTAAAACTAAGGTTTTCACAGGCAAAAATTCAGAGTGATGTGGTATGTTTAGAGTGGCCTAATAGTAGAGGTAGGATTTCAAATGCTTTTGCAAAAAAAGTTTACCTCCTACTACTTAATCTTAGGTAACACGAATCATAGTCCCTTACAAAAAAATCCTCAGCTACTTATATTAAGCTGCTGCTGAGATGCTGAAGCCTAATAGGAACCAAGTAATGCAAGAACAACTATGCGAGGGGGAAGGAGACGGTAACTAAACAGCTGCAGAACCACAGACATATTTATCATAAAGAGCAATAGCTGCTTCATGATGAGAGTCAAAGCTCCCAATTGATCTAAGGAGATAACAGTTCTAGTAGGGAAGGTTTACATACTAAGCTGGTGAAAATACATGGTAGTAGACACCGAACAAGTCAACCTATATCTTCTTGATATGAGGCAAAGAGATAAAGGATTCTTAAGTAGTTTGCTTAGCAGTATTAGCATCTGTATTGGCAGGGAGAAAGAAATTTTCACTCAGCAGAAGTATCTAAATGATATCTGTTGGAAACTCTATATGTCTTCCTTCTGAGATACAACCTGTTTAAAACTTTAATTTTTAAACTTTTAAAAATTTATATTTTCAGTACCCATTTATGATTTGAAGAAGTATGCCTTTCTCTCATTTTTCACCAAAGGAAAATGTTTTTCTCAAACAGAACAATGTATAAGTGGCTTAATGAAAGTGTTTTGACATATTTAACATTTAAATTATTACCTACTGAAATATGAATATAGTCTGATGGGTAGGTTTGAAAATTGTTTCCATGTCCGAAACTAAACAGTTGTACTTTAAATGAATTCTGAGGGACTGAATTTGTACTGCAGAGTTTTCTACACTGTTTAAGGTATTAATCTAACATACCATTAATTATTTTTACATGTAAAATCTCTGCAATATTCGTGTCTTCCCCTTCACCTACACAGTCTTACACATGCACTTCCTGCTTTCACACCTACACTGAATGTTCATGGCAGTTTTGAGATTTTAAGATATTTTGCAGGTAGTGTGTTAAAACAGAACAGCCAAACAAGACAACCTTAGCCTTGTGGCTGAAAACTTTCATACCTCGCCTTAAAAAAACCCCTCCTTGGTTCATTATAACTCTCAATTTGACCTGTTTACCTAAATAAAGTTAATAGAGTACCTACCACAGGTTTTCTGCACTGATTGCATGTGAATTTGTGGATGTTAATATTCAAGGATATTAAAACAAAAATAAAAGAAATTAGATCCTTTCAAATAAATGATACTTTAATGGTTGGTCCCATAAAATAAAATAAACATTATAAAAAAATAAGGTCATAACAATCAGGAAGATGGATAAGTTGATACACCATTCTGCGTATGTCTGTTTAATAATATTATATTTCATTTCCCATGCTAAGAAAACAGCCATTACCCAAAGCAGCCATTCGTAAACAGCCATTGTGAACAGATTGCATCCTCGTTGGTGGTATGATAATTGAAATAAGTTTACTCGTCTTTTCTGAGGATATACCAGATGTATAAAGTACCTATTAATCAACTCACTCACTTTTGCAAACATCAGTTTCAATACCAATGGCTATCAAAGAATAAATAGAATGAGGGAAAATATCAGTGAATTAGCAAAATGACTCAGTGGTGTGTTGTATTGCTTGCAGTAAGGGAGGCAGAAGAAAAAGGAGTCTAGGGTAAAAGTATCACATATTTCAGGTTTTGTTTATGGTCACTCATTTCACTGTTTATACTTGACTGCTTTTGGATCTCTGTAATGCCTCTCTTATAACCCTGATTGAAAGCAATATTGTGGACAAGAAGAAGAAATCAGATGCCCATGAGTCTCTCATAGATACGTTTACTTTTCTTTTACTAAACACATTTTTAAATTACTATTTCTGTGTTTTTGCAATAGGCTACAAAGGCATCACCCGTCATAGAGTATGCTGAGCTAATATAGCTGGTTTTTTTCCTTCTTGGAGAGATTTAGCTTTTTCTATTATTATTGGGGGTGGGACTGTGTTTGTATTTATTTATTTATTTATTTCTTATTATATGCTTTAGGATCTAGGAGTTTGGTACTATCATAGAAACATCAAAGTACCAATGACAAGATGGAACAGTGGTGAATTCTAGATTCATCCCTGGGTATATCTTTGCTACTTCTGTTTGACTTTGGTTTTTATTTCGATGAGAGAGAAAAATCTCATGGAAATTTTTCCTGTTGTGATTGAAACAGATTCATCTCTTCTGAGTCATGCACTGTTTCTGTGTACTAAGGAACTGTACTTAGCTGGTAAAAGAAGTCATAAAATGAGAGTAGATGCATCTGCTGCAGTTACTTAGATAATGGTGGAAGCTGCAAAACTGTAAGATAACTTGCTACTCTTTAGAGCTGTAGGAAATATTCAGTGCACTGGCCTTTGGTTACAGATTGCACATACTTTGCATTGCTTGAACCACTAAGAGTAGTTTGGAATAGACAGTTCAATGGAGTCATCAGAGAACCTTTCTGAATCTAGCAGGCCAATTTAGGTTATGTCTTTTAACGCAGTGGTGCAGACCGATATGACTGGTTTGGCAAAGGGAGACATCCGATACTGAAGACTGTAGGCACTGAAAGGGGACTGACTTCAGACCAACTCGAGTCTGTTCTTGCATTGGTTGCATTCTTAGAGCACATCTTATGGTTATTTCTAGTGAAAGAATTCTAATTCCACCACCCTACTGAGTTCAACATGCAAAAGTATTGTTATGAAATATCAAAAAAAAGATGATTGCAGACGGGAACTTACTTTTACTTACTACTTTCATTAAAGACCAATGGATTAACAACATATAATTTCAGGCATGCAAGAATGTGAAAATATCAGTTTACATCTCAATTACTACTGTTACTTAGAAAAAATATTTTGCTTATGTCACAGGAAACTTTAAGAAGAGCACACAGGCATATTAGTGAGTTCGATTAAAAACAGCCATCAATCTATGGCTGAATGTGAATGGTTTTTTACTTTCACAATACTATGTGTGGAAGAGTCAAACTATTGACAGAGTGACTAATATCTTTGAATCAGTGTGGAAAGAGAGGGCTCATTTTGATGAAATACTTTTCCAGCAGGTGAACACTGAGGACAAAAAATATACCTACTTTTAGCTACCTAATTAACCAATTAAGGCACTTGCATTGACTAAGGACATGGAAGGACAAGGAAGTAGCTTTTGTTAAACTTGTTCAGTGACAATAAAGACCAGGTCTGTAGACTCCTGGCATCAAAATCAATACTAATCTGTTACTAAGGAACAGCTCAGCCAGTCAGAAATTGCATGGAAAGCTGGTAGACTATCTTGAAAGCAA